CAAAGTTCAAAAGCAAGCCTGAGTCTGCTTCATTTCCAATCCACCTGTGACAAATATGTGTTGAGTATCCATCATGTGCTTAACAGTGTAATAGCTATGTAAAGAAGACATGATGGTGTCCTTATTCATTCCATAAATTTATCAAGCATCTACCATGTCAAGAGTGGTGGATGTAGTGGTGAACAAGACAGACAAAATCCATGGCATTGTAATCCATAATTAATTCAACAAATACTTGTTGAGCATTTGCTATGTGCCACACATGGTTCTACATATTTGAGAAACATCAGTGAACACACAGACAAAAATCCCTGCTCTCATGGAATGGAAGAAACAGACAGGAAACAAGCATGTTCTTAATTACACTTGTGTGTGTTTAGGGAATCTTTATTGGTCATCTACTATAACCTAAGCAGTTCAGATAGAGTGGTGAGCAAGTAATGTGCAATTCTTGATCTTATGGAGCTTACTTTACAGCTCCCACAGAGTTTATGTTTAGTAGGGGGAGAAAAGACGGACACCATTAATTAGAAAACAATACAACTTCCTATGCTAATAAACTGCCACAAGTCTGTTACAGACTTTAAGGACTCTAGGAGGAGGTCAGAGGATGGGGGGGCACCTGGGAAGAGGTGGGCTTTGGCCTAGTCTCAGGCAAAGGAAATGTCATCAACAAGAGCTCACTGTTAGGTCAGACAGGGAGTGGCTGAGTGCTAAGAGGTTTCAGGGGGAGATAGGAAACAAAGTTGAATAAATAGGGTAGGGCCAGAAAATAAGATATAGGAGTTTATTTTAAACTCGTGTGAGAAAATAGTGAATATATTAAATGTGTGTGTCTGTCTCTGTGTGTGTGTGAGAGAGAGAGTGTGTGTGTGTGTGTTTGTGTGTGTGTGTGTGTGTGTGAGAGAGAGAGAGAGAGAGAGGGGGGAATATGAGAGACAGGGAACAAGCAAAGTAATACATTCTACTGTAGTTTTTTCTTTCTTAAAAACCCCCTCACTGGCTCCCTCTTGGCATAGAGTACAGTCTGAACTCCTTAGCACTGCATACCAGGTTCTTCACAAGCAAGCCCCACCTATGTCCTTAGCCTAGTTTTAAACACTTACCCCATGCCTCCTCATTCTGGACACACTCAGCCTCTTGCTCTTCCTTGAGCTTCTTCTTCCTTTCGCATTTTGGTCCTTCTGCACAGACATGTTCACTCTGCTCTGTAGTCCCTTCCCTCCTTTTTTGACTTGTCAAAACTCTATCCATCCTTGCTGCTGAGAAGATTCCCCCAGCCCATCCCAGCCCAAGATGGTTAACTTTGCCTTCCTTTTCTCTCACAGCACTTGGTATACATCTCAATTTTAGGACTTCTCACACTTATTGGCGTTGTTCTTTACTTATGTCTGACTCCTACTAGACTATGAGTACTTAGAGGGCAAGAACCTTATCCTAGTTTTCTTCATATCCCCAGCTATCCAACACAAAGCCTAGCACATGCCAGGGTGAAGATGCTGCATAAGGCCTCAATCCCACTGAAAACTGGAAGGAGTGGGACAGAGAGGTTGCAGAGAGAGGTTAAAGAAGAAAGTGAAGGGGGAGAATATGGAAATCATAGGGAGATCAAAGTAAGGGGATATGTCCAAGAGCTCACCCAAAACAAGTGAGGTTAATTATAACAACCCTAACATTTCTGCAGCATGTACTCAGTGTGTAAAACACAATGTTAGACACTGTGAGGATACAAAGTGAAATAAAACACCTCTCCCTATGGTTTGGTGGGGAAGATAAGACCAAGGTAGATAAGGAGACTGACAGCATCCAGGCATACTCAATTTCTTGTTTCTTAAAGCTCAGTACCGTTTTCAACTTTAAGATTTTTAATATGAAGCCCCTCAGCAGTCAGTAAGGTATTGTTTTAAGAAATATTAGATATGGAAACTGACTCCTCTAGTTGAGATCTCAGCAAAGCTCAATAAGGCTAGACTAGAAACAACTTTCTTAGAAAACGGACATAGAATTGTAAATTTTAATACCATTTAAAAATATTTCTCATGTCTATGTGTCCCAAACTGTATATTATGAGCTTTTTTGAAGAAGGAAAGAGGATTCTTGCCCTCTAAGCACTCATAGTCTAGTTGGAGTCAGAGATAAATAAAGGGAGGGAAAGGATTCACAGAGCATCTGAAAGGAGTGGATGGAAAAAAATGAATAAAAATAGACAAAATAGGATTTCAGAAAAGGAGAATGGGAATGCACAAGAGACAACAGGAATAAAGAGATAGTCTATTAAGGAAATTGATTTTTTAAACTGTACATATGAATTAACTATTTAAATAGTGAGGTATCTGATGGCTGTAATACAAAATATGAGATATTAAAAAAATAAGTAGGATGTGCCTTTAAATTCTATGATAGGCACTTAGCCAAAGGTAATTGAAGGGATGCTAGAAAAGGGATTAGAAAATGAAAATGGTAAAGTTATTATGTGAATAAGAGATAAGATGTATTCTGAGTGATACAGTTTATTTATTTATTAGTGGTTCCTAAGAGAGAGTAGGAATGTCCCAAGACATTATCTAGGTGCTCAATTTAATGTTTTCTGTTTTATGATAGTATGATACTGGGATGGCTTAGACATTTAATTTTTTATTTAATTTCAGCAATCAATCCTGAGTAACTACTATGTGGTTACCCCCAGAAACCAATTATGATCTCATTGAGCAATCAGCTTAACAGGGATTGGCCAAGCAGCAAATGAACTCATCAATTGGGCATTATGTCCTAGGGTACTGAGGAGAGTATAAAAGGGGGGTGTAGCAGCCCTGTCACACTAGCTCTTCAGTAGTTTCTGAACATCTAGACGGTAGGATGTAGAATAGGTAAGTAGAAATGCAAAACAGATACTGCAGGAATTGACTAAAGGTCTGACTTAATGGAAGTGAGTGTGTAGTTAAGACAGTTATGGTGTTAAAGAGGTGAGGGAGGAGGGACGTTTTTACTGAGTTGGGATTGAGCTGGATATTCAGTAGAAGCAGAAATTTTGAGTGAAGTTGAGGGTGGGCAGGGACTAGGGAATAGGACTTGTTTATTGGGGGGATGATCATGCTGACTTGGTATGGAGCAGAAAATTCACGTTGGAAAAGCAGTAGGAAATCAGTTGGGATTGTATTGGGATAAGGAGATTGGCAGGTATGGGGGGAGGTTGGAGGTGGCACAGGGGAGGTCTGATTTAACAGTGAGCCCTTGTTTATGTCATTTCCGTTGCCTGATGTCTGGCAATGAAAAACATTTACACCTAATCTTGAGGGTTGCAGGAAGTTAATTGGGAAGGGAGACTACTCAATGTTCAATGTAAAACAAGCAGAACAACACTTAAAGTATTTTCGTTTTTCCTTACATTGTTGGCATCATATTGTGTTTCTGTGCTCAGAAAGAGGGAGAAATTAAGAGGTTGAACCAAAAAAAGTACTGAACTCTCTACCTCATCACTCTGGGGCAGATGGGGTTACTTCCTAAGTGACTGGGCTATTGGAGTGAAGGCAAAAGTCAAACTCAACCCAAAAACCCAAGTGCAAGGCAGAACTGTGGCAATCATTGAGGTTCTTAAGCTTCAGGGGCTGCAAGGAGCCAATGTTTGTGGTTAAATGTCTGTGCAACCGCAGTCTTTACTTGGATTACTCTGGGCCGAGACAGCTGTGTGTACAACAGCAGCTTTGTCTCATCAGAAAGTGGGCCCCATTTCTGATGAAGGACACAGAAGTTGCCCAGGTTTAGTCCTAGGCACCTTACTTGGCCTCTTTCAACCTGTTTCTTCATACGTAAAATGAAGGTGCTAGGTGTGTCAACCTCATAATAGGGTCTTTGTGATGCGTGCATATGAGGTAACGTGTATTAAGCTCTTAGCAATAGTGGTTGGTACATAGTCAGTGCTCATTATCACAGTCATTATTAACACTTTAAAGAATACATTTATCTAATGGCCTAGGGAGACACTTCTTAAATTGCCTTAAATGGGATTAGATGCCCCTTTGGTCTGGGTTTGTACACAGACCCAGGCCTAGGTTTGAACTAAGTTTAATTTCTGGGTTTGGTGGCATGGTGGGGGTGGGGAGGTGGAAGTGGGTGTACCAGAGTAGGAGGCAATGGTGCAAGGTGTTGTGGCCATAGAAATATGAATTTCCATGTCAGCATTTGGTTGAATTTGGCACCGAGTGTTGTTCAAACAAAGCAGCGTTGTGAGTGGCAGAGGAAGGGTGAGGAGGAAAGTCAACACATTCTTGGAAATAAGATGTGGCTTTTGCTTTGCTATTTTATTTTTCCTTCAGCTACAGATATATTTCTTTGCTCTTGGGCTCACATTGTAAATCCCTTGCAGGACACAGTACAAATCTAAATTTCAGAGAAACCTCTTTTTAAGATGACAAGTAGTTAGCAAGAATTTCCTTGATCCTTGTTTTTAGTATATGAACCCCTCAGTTGGGGTCATTTAGCCTAGGGAGAAATCTTTGCATATACTTAGATACCCATCTCCACCTCACATCATGTAACTATGGCTTATATGGTACTTTAAATGTTGAATATCTGCTATTTCCTGATGATTTCAAACTGTTTGTAGTTCTATATAGATGTGTCATTTATCTATTCTCTACATGTATTTGTGTATTAGGTCTTTCAAATTTTGGTAAAAAATTTTAGTATAAAGCCTGGCAGTGCAATAATTCATTTTCCAATAGTTGCTGTCTTGCACCTCAGATGTCTGGCGAGATGTTATAGGAACTGGTCCTAGGTCAATATTTGAAGCACAGGGAAGCTCTGTATGACCAAGTCAATGGAACTTTCCTGTGTTCTGGTCCTGAGGTGTATGTTTAGAGCAATGTTTCAAGCAGAAAAGTTTGAGTATTCCTCTCTCCTCCACAAATGCATGTCTTTTTGCAATGGCAACAGAGTAAATAGCCACTTGTGTCAAGTTTGTGTCAATGACGAAGGGTTGGGTTGCATAGGGAACTGATATAGCCTTCTAACCCCATTCTTCTAGAGATAACACATACTCAGTTAACACTCAGTCTCTGCCTTCAAAGAGCTGACACTTTAGTTGAGAAATCAGACCTTAACACACCTTCTGTGCTGTAACAACATAGACCAATATGTTCACAATATATAACATTAGGTTTTAACCTCTCTGTGATCAGCCGGGTTTTGATGGGAAAAAACAGGTGGCTGGAATATATAGTGACTCTCCGTTTTAACATTTTAGAGGTCACACTCACCAGGCATTTTCAATAGCACCCTTTTAAAAGTTTGCAGCGAATAGCTGAACTTACATTTCACTATTATGTTAAAATACTTTTCCTCAACTTTCCAAATTACTTAGGAGATAAAAGAGTAGAGGAATACTGGGGTTTTGCAAAGTCCTGCAGGAAAATTCTAAAAGTCATTATCATCTTTAATACCTAACTTAGAAATTCCTTCAACAAGTGGTGACTATTTTCCTCAATTCGTTCATATCTCCCCTCCCCACCCCATAAAACAATGTTCACAAATTGAAAAGCAGACAAGTGAAAAAAAAATCAGTCTAATTCCACCAGAGGTAAATTTCACTGTTCCTTTCAGTTTTTGTCTAAGCATATGTGATTGTATGTATTGCTTTGCAATCCGCTTTCTTTTTGCAAATGTATTTCTTGTGGGTATTTTCCCATGTATTTTCTTAGGTCACTTTTAACCTCTTCATTCTTTTCCTTCTCTCTAGGGCACCAGGGGCCAGGGAAGCCCAGTCGCAGAGCGCTGCGGGCTCTGCTGGTGATAGAAACAATGTGGTGAAGTTATAAGGGGAGGGGAGGGGGGGGGGGTGGGAAAAATTCCTTAGCTTAGGAAAAAAAAAAAAAAAAGCAATGAAGAAAGCTCCACTTAAAGACCTATGAAATTTCCGACACTAGAATCTTTGTATATAGTTTTCGGTAACCTTCGGCAGGGGGCGCTAGGAAATTGTCGCCACTTTCCGGACAGCCTCCCGGACTTTACCCTCTAGAAAATTGTACAGTGTTTCCGGCCCTTCTTAGTTGTGGACGCTCGTAAGTTTTCGGCAGTTTCCGGGGAGACTCGGGGATTCCGCGTCTCGCTCCCTGTGTTCTCATAGCCCAGTGCGGTGGTGCAGGGTCTCGGGCTGGCCATGGCGTCCCCGTCTCGGAGACTGCAGACTAAACCAGTCATTACTTGTTTCAAGAGCGTCCTACTAATCTACACTTTCATTTTCTGGGTGAGAGACTGAGGCGCCTGGGGCCGGCAGGGGATCCCGGGCTTTTCTGTGTGTTGGGGGGTGTGACCCTGAACGGCGGGAGTTCAGGTCGGGATGGGGTGGGGTTTGGGCGGCCATCGTGCCTGGGACCCCAACGCCTGCGACTAGGGACTGGGCCCCGAGCTAAATGCTCAGGCATCTCGCCGGCGCTGGGGTCGGAGTGCGGGACGAAGGCAGCCGACAGGCTGAGCTGGGACCCAGACGTGCCAGCGTTCGAATTCGATGCAGGAGGCGAGCTGGGGCGTTAAGCCCCTATAGCACGCAGACGGTGACCCTGGACCTTTACAGAGGCAAGCAAGCCTTGCCCGGCCCCTTTGAGAGCACACTTGCATAATAGTGTCTTTCTTTTCACTGCTTCATAAGAGAGGAGTGTTTCGCAGGTAAGTATGGTATGCCTCCACTCCCGCCAGTCTGTCCTTGGGCTTGCTTTTGTGTACCATTGCTTTGTACCCTGTGCTCATCCCAAACTGGAGAGGACGGGGAAGGTTTCCGGAACGCATAAAAGCACTTTTTTTTCCCTCTCTTCAAGGTTTTCTTCCTAAGGCTGGAGTAAGACAATTAAGGAAGTTTTGATCTGTAGGGCAAATATGCCATGGGCTTGTGTTTACACACAAAAAGATGAATTCTAAGAATTTTGAAAGGATACCTTGTCCTCAGCCTACTCTTGTGTGCAGATCCCTCCTAACCCCTTCTACTCTCCCCCCTTGTCTGCCATGTTCCAGCATATCACACCTATTATGCCTTAAATATAACCTCATGCTTTGTGATTTGAAGATGCTGCTATACACAGTGCATAACTGTTTCTGTTTTCTAATTTCCCACATAGATCACTGGCGTTATCCTTCTTGCAGTTGGCATTTGGGGCAAGGTGAGCCTGGAGAATTACTTTTCTCTTTTAAATGAGAAGGCCACCAACGTCCCCTTCGTGCTCATTGGTACTGGTACCGTCATTATTCTTTTGGGCACGTTTGGTTGTTTTGCTACCTGCCGAGTTTCTGCATGGATGCTAAAATTGGTGAGTCCTTGTTTTCATTAGAATTAATTCTTCGTTTTAGAAAAGTTTTGTATGTTGTAGGATTCCTTTCTTGAAACTGGTCATGGCCCTTTACAATTTTTCCTGTTCCCTATGAAAACTGACCAAGTAACAGTTCAGTGGCCAGTTTCCACTTTCAAAATAGACATGTTACTATTTTCCCTGCCCTTTTCAATGAAAACAAGATGAAGTAATTGAGAAGACTACCATTATTTTTTCTTTGACTTCCTTTGCAGCTGTGCTGTATCTTATTTATGCTGACTTGGCCTTTCTTTCTTATCCTGCAGTATGCAATGTTTCTGACTCTCATTTTTTTGGTCGAACTGGTCGCTGCCATCGTAGGATTTGTTTTCAGACATGAGGTAAGCCTGAATTAGTGAAGCTTAGCATGTTGAATTTATCCTCCAAGAGATAAAAATGGATTTGTTTAAGTAGAAGAGTTAGACCTCTGTACCTAAACCTATAGCTGACAATAATGGCCTTCTTATAAAAATTCTGGCCCACTTCTAATTTAAAATAAAATTTAGAATTTCTTTTTTTTTTTTTTGAGACGGAGTTTTGCTCTTGTTGCCCAGGCTGGAGTGCAATGGTGGGATCTCGGCTCCCTGCAACCTCCGCTTCCCGGGTTCAAGCAATTCTCCTGCCTCAGCCTCACGAGGAGCTGGGTTTATAGGTGCCCGACACCATGCTCTGCTAATTTTTTTGTATTTTTGGTAGTGATGGGGTTTCACCATGTTGGTGAGGCTGATCTTGAACTCCTGACCTCAGGTGATCTGCCCGCCTTAGCCTACCAAATAATTTAGAAAATTGTAAAGACTGACAGTCACCAGAAGAAAATTACTTACTTGTATTCCCTGTCATTTTTCTGTGTGTAAATACCTATTAAAATGGAGATAGTACAATTTATAACTTTACTGATAGGAAAATATTCAAAGCACAAAATTGATAACCTTCTTCACTTATGCCTTGCATTTTGAAAAGACTGGATATACTTAATGCAAATCATCAAAAGTTTAATATTGAATTAAAAATCAGGTAAACTTGGGGTTGTTCAAATATCATTCGGTGAGTAACGAAGGCTCATCAATGAGAGTTCTTATAAAGGGGTAGCACAGTCTCCCTAAGTAAGGCTTTGTAGCTTACAAATTCCATAGGCATCGAATTTGTACTTAGTTTAAAGTAGAGAAAAATTAGCAGGGTGCAGAATACAGCAATACTTCATTGTCACACAGATAAATACATATTCCCACAGCACTTTGAACATGTAGTGGTTCTCATCATATATTTTAATGTTTTGCTGAGTAGTCCCCTCAGTGAACCCATATCCCTTAGAGGACAAGATTGTACCATGGAAGTTAATTACCATACATGTTGCTCCTGGCAAAGATATGACCATTGGTCAGATTCAAGAACTTTTTTTACCTGAAACCAAAAGAACTTTCTAGAGGATTTTCTTACTGACATTGTGTTTATTTGCTATAGATTAAGAACAGCTTTAAGAATAATTATGAGAAGGCTTTGAAGCAGTATAACTCTACAGGAGATTACAGAAGCAATGCAGTAGATAAGATCCAAAATACGGTAAGTGGCAACTACCACCTAGAGGAGAACACATTCCCTATTGCCTCAGAGAAAAGAGTAGAGCCTGGTACTAGATGTTATCCACTTGTAGAGGAAAGAAGTGACATTTTCCGTTCCATTTTCCTCACATGTGCACCTGTTCTCTTCCCTCCCCACTTATATCATAGTCCAAGTACTGTTAGTACCAACTACAGCAGGGAAGTAAGGCCAGTACAAAACTGTCATGCATGGTGGTCAAGGACCCAGTGCTGAGCCCTTGAATCAATTCAGCAGAGAGATCATTGAGTATAGTAAATGTTTTGAGCACAAATTGCAATAGAGGATATTAGGTTAAATGTTTGCTTACAAAGTTGTAATACAAACTTAAATGCTTTTGTTGGGTTTTTCAGTTGCATTGTTGTGGTGTCACCGATTATAGAGATTGGACAGATACTAATTATTACTCAGAAAAAGGATTTCCCAAGAGTTGCTGTAAACTTGAAGATTGTACTCCACAGAGAGATGCAGATAAAGTAAACAATGAAGTAAGGTGCCTTTTAAAACTTTCTGTTTGACAGTGTTTGGGGACTTAACTGAATGCAACATTGACTCAGTTTTTAATTTTTCCTTATATTAATAAATGTAAGCCGAAATAGGGTGGGTAAGACTTGAGTTCAGACAGCTAGCAAGTAGCACTTTTTGTTTATTTATTATTTAGTATTTTTTTTTAAGACAGTGTCTGTCTCTGTCACGCAGTCTGGAGTGCAGTAGTGTGATTATAGCTCACTGCAGCCTTGAACTCCTTGGTTCCAGTAAAGTAACACTTTTAAATGTATGATCCAAAAGGTGGAAATAGTTGGGAATAATTATTTGTTCTTTTGAGAACATACGGAAGAGAGTAGATTTCAATAAAATGACAACCAAAGGCTATGATACATACATCTTTCTGCAGAGGTGTATGATCAAAGTGCTTATTACCATAAAGAAAAGTACATTCTGCTTGTGCTGTACTTAATCTTTGTTTTTTTCCTCCTATTAGGGTTGTTTTATAAAGGTGATGACCATTATAGAGTCAGAAATGGGAGTTGTTGCAGGAATTTCGTTTGGAGTTGCTTGCTTTCAGGTAAGTGTTTGTAGTTACTTAAGAAATATTTCATCCCTCTTGTAGGTGTGAGCTAGAAGATTTTCACTTTTTTTTTGAGATGGAGTCTCACTCTGTCACCCAGGCTGGAATGCAGTGATGCAATATAGGCTCACTGCAACCTCCACCTCCCAGGTTCAAGCAGTCCTCCCACCTCAGCTTCCTGTGTAGCTAGGGTTACAGGCATGCTCCGCCATGCCTGGCTAATTTTTTTTGTATTTTTAATAGAGATGGGGTTTGACCATGTTGGCCAGGCTGGTCTCGAACACCTGACCTCAAGTGACCCGCCCGCCTTGGCCTCCCAAAGTGCTAGGATTACAGGCAGGATCCACTGCGCCTGGCAAGATTTTCACTTTTAAGGCTTAAAGTTTTTGCTTCAGGGAACTGGATAGTGAGGACATTTTTAGAGAAGTCGCATTTTCAGAAAACTCTTAGTTATTGGTCACAGTACAAAAATATTTGGGCTGGTCACGGTGTGGCACACCTGTAATCCCAGCACTGTGGGAGATGAAGGTAGGCAGATCACCTGGGGTCAGGAGTTTGAGACCAGCCTGACTAACATAGTAAAAATACTGTCTCTACTAAAAATATGAAATTAGCTGAGCGTGGTGGTGGGTGCCTGCAATCCCAGCTTCTCGAGAGGCTGAGGGACGAGAATCACTTGAACCTGGGAGTTGGAGGTTGCAGTGAGCCAAGATCGTGCCATTGCACTCCAGCCTGGGCAACAAGAGTGAAACTCCATCTCAAAAAAAGAGAAAATACTTCATTTTTCTTATAGTGGAGTTTCGATTGGACTTATTTTATATATGTAATACTGATTTTGATTTGTGATTGGGAGATTCATTGTGCACCAGTTGTTTTGGGTAGATTCCATGTAGTAGGTCAAATTGTGTTTTGCAAATTGTGTTTCTCACTGTAGCATGACATTTGTTTTGTGGCTCTGAACTATTTTTTTTTTCAGGGGATTTTTTTGTTTATATTAAACACTAGAAATAAGACTAATTCAAGTTTAGTCTTAGTATATTTTTAAAGTAACAAGCATAGCTATATCTAAATCTACGCTAATGCAGTAGCCACTAGCCACCTTTGAATGGTTATAATCATTAAATAAAATTAAAACCTCAGGTCGCTGGAGGTTTGAAATAGTAGCCATGTGGCTGCTGCCTACTATGTCATACAGTACAGGGGTTCTAGAACATTTTCATTATTGTAGCACTGCTCTGGATCTTTCCAGGAAAATCTCTGCCCTCCTTGATGGAGATTTAACTTGTTAGGATACTTATTCAAAACCATGTCTTTGTTTTTTCTGGGAACTGAGAGTAAGAAAAGTTTCTCCAAAATTTGCGACTGAATTTTCCTTGAGTGACAGTTTGCTGGATTTTCCTTTGGTGAGAGTTGTGAAATTCTGGGTCATAGTAGCAATAAAACTTCACTTACATTCTTTGAATGTGATCTAGATGCTGCAGAGTATTAAACATAACTGTCTAGAAGAACTCAAGGAAGAAAATTATAAGCGAATTACAAGTGAGAGGAGAATATAGTCTGAGGTCTTCAAGCTCTTTTGTGTAGTATTTAATTTTGTTTCTATTTTATTTCTAGCTGATTGGAATCTTTCTCGCCTACTGCCTCTCTCGTGCCATAACAAATAACCAGTATGAGATAGTGTAACCCAGTTGATCTGCGGGGCTATTCCTCTCTACCTTTAACGTACGTTCATTTTGGTCCTCAGCTCTGTTAGTGTTGATGTCTACTCCAGGCTGTGTATGTGATACATGAACTAAGTTTGTCAAGAATGTCTTTAGTATATTTAAATCTAGCTGGTGCTATGTAAGCCCTATGTAGGCAGATTAGGTCCCTATACACCAGGCATGGTCAGAAAGTACTGACTTAGCTATAGCTTATCTGTGCATACTCTCTAAAGTTATGCAACAAAAGAGTTCCTGTGTGAGTTTATATATTTACATACACATGTCAGCCTAAAGATCGTAAGTGGTCCCTTTTCTAACATATTTCAGCCTACAGAGAGGAGAAACAAAGAATCCCAATAATGACCTTATTTGTGAGTTTCCCTGGCAGGTGCACTCTGTTCCTCACCAATATTGACATTTTCCATAGTCCTTTACCTAGTTTTCATTTACCACAGTTTTAGTCAGTCGTTGAGAGCGTTGCTTTCTTGGTAAAAACTGTTTTTGGTGGGCTATCATTAAAGCCATAAACTCATCTGGTCTAATAGGAACCAGATTTTGGGAAGACGTGTGTTTCAATGGCTTTAGTATTTAAGTGGTAAAATATTGTGAGAATTGTTGTTGGCTGAATTGATCCCTAGGGCACACTTTGCATTTTAATTGAGCCACTGACTGGGAACACATAGGAAGGTCTTCATTAGCAGGAATAGATTAGAATGTATGCAAGCAAATACAGATGTTGAAATTTGTGTAACAAGTAAATTAACTTTTTTTCTTTAATTTTAGGACATTTAGAGTTCCCCCTGTGAATTGGAAAATTGCCTGGCTGGAGAACTGACAACACTACTTACTGATAGACCGAAAAAGTACACCAGTAGACTGATTCAATCAAGATGTATGTAGAACAAGAAACTACACCAATAGGCTGATTCAATCAAGATGTGTGTCCGCTGTGTTATAAATCCACCTTCTGTCCCGTTCATGTTAGATCATTGAAACCCTGTATCCTTCTGAAACACTGGAAGAGCTAGTAAATTGTGAATGAATACTGTGTTACTCTTGACTGTTATTCTTCTTAGTTGGGGCGCCTTTGGAAGGCACTGTGAATTTGCTATTTTGATGTAGTGTTACAAGATGGAAAATTGATTCCTCTGACTTTGCTATTGATGTAGTGTGATAGAAAATTGACCTCTCTGAACTGGCTCCTTCCCAGTCAAGGTTATCTGGTTTGATTGTATAATTTGCACCAAGAAGTTAAAATGTTTTATCACTTGCTGTTCTGCTGACAGGCAGAGTTGCATTGTGTAATTTAATTTCAGTCAGTCATTAGATGGCATCCCTCATTAGGGTTGCCAGATGGTGATAACAGTCTCAGGCCTTGGGTCTAAGGCATCCAAGACTGGAAGGGACTATTGATGTTCTGTGATACATCAGGTTTCAGCACACAATTTACATTTCTTCACCTCCCAACTGGGACATGTATTATGATGTTCATATTTTCCCTCTTGTTTGAAAGTTTCTAATTATTCAATGGTGTCGGAATTACTGTATTTTCCTTAGGAATTTAGTGGAACTTATCTTCATTAAATTTAGCTGGTACCTGGTTTATATGACTTAATTGTCAATATTATGGTCAACTTTAAGTCTTGGTTTTGGTTTGTGCCTTTGATTAACAAGTATAACTCGTATACAATAAATACTGTTTTCCTCTAAAAAGATCGTGTTTAAATTAACTTGTAAAAAATCTGCTGGGATGGTGGTGGTTTTCCACTGAGAAAGCTAAGCCCTACATTTCTACTCAGAGTTTAGATGTGAAATATAAGGCTGAGGCCTTAACTCTGTATTAAAAATTTAATATTCTTGTTTAAAAACTGTTCCATAGGTCCAGCAAACCACCATGGAACATGTATACCTGTGTAACAAACCTGCACGTTCTGCACATGTATCCCGGAACTTAATGTAAAAAAAAAATCTTAAAGTGCAAATATAAAAAAAAATGTTCCCTGTGAAAAAATTACATTCATGTTATAAAATAGCATATGATTAGTGTTCTCCTGGAGATCAGACTTTTTCGATTGTATAGTTTGCATTGAAAAGTCGTATAGGGAGGGATGTAACCTGTATCTTCAGGATAATAAGGAAATTAATAAGGAAAATAATAATTATTAAAATCTGAGTTGAAGTCAGGGAATTATTTCTTTGATTTTGGGTCTCTTTATACATCCATTAGTAGAACCTATCTAGTCTCTGATTGCCACAGTCCTTGAATTGATGGTAAGGGGACATCAGTTACAGTTAGAAAAAAAACTGGGCATTCTCAGCAAACTGACACAAGAACAGAAAACCAAACACCACATGTTCTCACTCAGGCAGGTGTTGAACAATGAGAACACATGGACTCAGGGAGGGGAGCATCACACACTGGGGTCTGTTGTGGGGGCTAAGGGAGGGACAACGGGGTTGGGGAGGTTTGGGAGGGATAACATGGGGAGAAATGACAGATATAGGTGACAGGGGGATGGAGGCAGCAAACCACCTTGCCATGTATGTACCTATGCAACAATCCTGTATGATCTGCACATGTACCCCAGAACCTAAAGTACCAAAAAAAAAAAAAAACCAAACAAAAAAACGGGCAAAAACTACTAGCTAAATAATCATGAATTTTGAGTATGTGTTTTAAAATGCTTGGAGTTATTGGAGAAAAAGGATATTCTCCATTAGAACATTTGATGTATAGCTTTTCACATAAGGTGATAAGAAAATTAAGTTGAGGCCAGGCGTAGTAGCTCACGCCTGTAATCCCAGCACTTTGGGAGGCCAAGGCAGATGGATCACCTGAGGTAGGGAGGTCAAGACCAACCTGACCAACGTGGAGAAACCCTGTCTCTACTAAAAATACAAAATTAGCTGGGCGCGCTGACACATGCCTGTAATCCCAGCTACTTGGGAAGCTGAGGCAGGAGAATCGCTTGAACCTGGGAGGCAGAGGTTGCAGTGAGCTAAGATCACGACATTGCACTCCATCCTGGGCAACAAGATGAAACTCTGTCTCAAATAATAATAATAATAATAATAAAACAAAATTAAGTTGAAAAATAGTGACTCAAGTACAGCAAGTCAGATTTTTGGCTACTGAGATTAAAGAAGCAAATATTTAAAGGATTATCAGAGCAGTTTTCAAATACGTATTTTTCACTGCAATGGTTTTGAATAATCTTTTAAGGTTATATTTAGAGTTTTAAAAAATGTTTTTCCTCGGCTGGAACAGTGGTTCATGTCTGTAATTCCAGCAATTTGGGAGGCTGAAATAAGCAGATCACCTGAGGTCAGGAGTTCTAGACCAGCCTGGCCAACATGGTGAAACCCCGACTCTATTAAAAATGCAAAAATTAGCTGGGCATGGTGGCTAGCACCTATAACTCCATCTACCTGGGAGGCTGAGGCAGGAGAATCCCTTGAACATGGGAGGCGGAGTTTGCAGTGAACCAAGATCACACAACTGCACTCCAACGTGGGCGAAGAAAATGAAATATTGTCACAAAAAAAAAAAAAAAAAGTTTTCCTTCAATATTAAAAAGGAAAAACTATAGAAAATTAAAATATAGAATGTAGAAAGAGGAAAAACATCACACATCACTCTTCAGGTGGATTTTTTTTTTTTTTTTTTTTTAAGATGGGTTTATTTTGGATAGCCACTTAGAAAATCTCTTACAGCTGATGTGTGTAGGGGCCTACTGAATTGTATACTTAATTCTGAAAGTAATGAGGAAACATTTCACCTGATGATAACTGGTACAAAGGAAAGTTCATGTGTCTTTAATAGTTTACTAATTAGCCTAGCTGGTTAGAAAGAGGGATCACTAGATTGAGAGAGATGCAGTTTCCACTGGCGGCAGTACGTTTGCTCATTTCCGTGATGACAATCCTAATGGTAGAGTGAGTGAGTTCCCTTAGTGGCGCAGGTGGGGGGTTCTGAGCTTTTAAGTTTTGTTTTGTAGGAATCTGAAGAATTTTACATTTTACTTCACTGTATATCCATGTTTAAAATAATTCATTTTTGATTTCCCAAATGTATCCTGTGGGTTGCCTTATTTCCAGGGACTAGGTTGCTCGCTGCAAGGTGACATTTTGAGAAGCAGAGATCTCTAGGTATATTTTCTGAAAGTGTGGAAAGCTTGGGAGATTTCCATGGCATATTCCAGGTGGGTTGTTGGGTTTACGTTGTAAGCATCAAACTTTTGGGGAAATAAATACCTAACACAAGACATAAATACCATTTCTGGTTTTCCTCAGGGCTCACAAAAGAATCTTTGAGACTTGATGTTTTTAATACCCCATCAGAATCCAAGCTGGTGATGCACCCAAACAAACCTGTTAAAATATGAGACATAAAGAAATGTATGCATTTTCTTTTCTTTTTTCTTTCTTTCTTTCTTTTTTTTTTTTTAGATGGAGTCTTGCTCTGTCACCAGGCTGGAGTGCAGTGGCATGATCTCTACTCACTGCAATTTCCGCCTCCCGGGTTCAAGTGATTCTCCTGCCTCAGCCTCCCGAGTAGCTGGGATTACAAGTGCATGCCACCACGCTCAGCTAATTTTTCTATTTTTTTAGTAGAGATGGGGTTTCACCATGTTGGCCAGGATGGTCTTGATCTCTTGACCTCGCGATCTGCCCACCTTTGCCTGCCAGCACTTTGGGAGCCCAGTACCACTGCACCCAGCCAGTATATGCATTTTTCTCATGAAACAGTAAACTTTGGTTCCTTTAGACTATTCTGTGAGGGCTTTGTGGTTGTAGAAAAAAAAAACCTAAGATATTAATACTATTTCTACTTTTCCTCACAGCATATATAAGAGAGTTTGAGATTTGATTTTTTTTTCAGTTTGCTACCTTTCTTGGTTGACACTTTGTGATGTGGCAAACCAAACCTTACTAATTTAAAAAGGAAAACAAAAGGCTAATGTGTCAGAAAAGAATATATAAACTGAAACAGCTATAGGGAAATAAGACTTTCATTTTTAAGTCATTGCTTTAAAACCACCCAGATTGCTTGTGAAAGAGTAGCCATTATGATTTAATTATGGTTTTTCTATTAGGTACCCTGACCCCATGGAGCTTAGTTGTGTCAGGCACTTGTAAGAGCACAGTAAATGCTAATGGAATAAATGAATGAATGAGTGAGTCTAATTACAGTGGCTCTTTCATGTTCTGTGTGAGATAGATGATCTAAACATCTCATTCTATATAAGCCACTATTTATATAATAGAAACCACCTGCCCAGTCAGAAACCACTTACCCTCGGAAACCACTGCTAACTTCCTTCTGGTGAAATCACTTTTTGCTGCTCTCTTTCTTGAACTCTTTGCTGCATTTGGTACCACTAAAAATATTTCTCTTTTTTGTTTTGACTGTGTAACATCCTGCTTTTCTTCCCTTTTACTGTTCTTTCTAGTTTACTTTGTTGTTTGAATTGCCTCCTCCTTTTCAAATGTGACTGACCCCAAGGGCTTATATTTGGCATTTTGCTGTTAGATTATGCTGACCTTAAGGAATTAAATGTGCATGATCATCAGGCCTGACTCTTATTCTTGGGTCATGCACTTTAGTTGTGTGTCGGTCATAGCAGCTTGCTTATATTCCTACCCTCTCTAATACCTAAAAGTTTAGTAGCATTCTGAACACTTAAACATTTAAAAATATTCCTCCTATAACATCTAGTGTATGAACAGTAAGTACTTATTTGACATTGACCTACCTGGCTCTTTCACCAGGAATGACATGCTGTGTGGGATATGGGGAAAATGAGTCACCTTTTCCAACCACCAGCATTTATCAGGGACACATCAGTTCTTTGGGACTGTCATGCTTCATCTGATGGTGTTCTTATTACCATAGCCTCAAAGTTTTCATTAAAAAAATGAACTGGTGAGTTGCAAAGGCTCGTTTCTTCCAGCCGAAGTTTCTCACCACTTTTTTTCTGGGAAAACAAAATTATTAGCACCATCCACAAAGCAAATAAAACTGGCATGGCACTTGCCAGGATATAGACAATTCACCAATAGGTGTATACAGTGTATAGCAGAGTAGACAACTACTCAGACTCATGACTAGAAAGGTAAAGTCGCTACATTATGTACACAGGGCAACGTAGGGTACAGCCTAAGAGGTTCTGCACACATTTTCCTGTCTAGAAAGACCATGTACTTCCTCATCAGGAAAGTGGCATATAAAAGAAGGTAGGACATCTGAACAAGGACTTTTTTCCCCTCTTCTGTGTCCTTTTTTTTTTTTTTTTTTTTGAGATGGAGTCTTGCCCTGTCACCCAGGCTGGAGTGCAGTGGCTCAATCTTGGCTCACTGCAACCTCCGCCTCCTGGGTTCAAGCAATTCTCCCTGCCTCAGCCTCGAGAGTAGCTGGGATTACAGGCATGCACCACTATGCCCAGCTAATTTTTGTATTTTTAGTAAAGACAGGGTTTCACCATGTTGGCCAGGCTGGTCTTGAACTCCTGACCTCAGGTGATCTGCCTCCCTCGGCCTCCCAAATTGCTGGTATAACAGGCATGAGCTACCGAGCTCAGCCCCCTTTTCGGTTTCTTTTCATATAGGGGGGAGGTAAGATAACTAATGTGTATTGAGCATTTACTAATTGCTTCAATAGACTACGTTGTGTGGGGAGGTAGTGTTATCCTCACTTTCCCCAAAAGCAAACA